CAGTTCAAGTTCTTGTGCACTGCACAATTCTACCCATTGAGATCCATCTACCTACAAAGTTTCATGTTGATATCTCTTGTAGTTTTAGAGTTATTTCCCGGACAAGATTTTTTTAAAAGGGGAGATAATTAAAAAATTGGGCAAAACAGAGTTATGTTTTTTTTGTACTGCACTTTAACTCAAGGAAGTTTCATGTTGAGATATCTTATAATTTTAGAGTAATTTCCCAGACAAAGTTCAAGAAGTAAAAATAAACAAAGGGCAAAAACTCCAGAATTAGGCAAGGCAGAGTTATGATTCTTGTGCACTGCACATCTACCCATGGAGATATATATCTACCTACAGAGTTTCATGTTGATATCTCTTAATCTTATAGTTTTACAGCTATGTCCTGGACAAGATTTTTCTTACAGGGGAGATAATTCAAAAATGAGGCTTAACAGAGTTATGGTTCTTTTGCATTGCACTTCTACTTATTAATGAGATCTATCTACCTACAATATTTCACCTTGATATCTCTTATAGTTTTAGAGTTATGTTCCAGACATAGTTCAAAGTGTTAAAATTAACAAAGGGCAAAATAGAGTTATAGTTCTTTGACACTGCACTCCCCCTCAATGCCCTCTACCACTGTATGAAGTTCAAACTAATTATCTCCAAGGGTTTTCAAGTTATGCTCCGGACAAGACAACAGACGGACAGACGGACATACTCACAAAATGGTACTTATGTGACTTTTCCTTTGATCTTTTTGGCCATTTTTAGTCACACAAGGCTTAAAAAAAGACACACAAGTAAAAACGGAATGAATAGGACAAAAGAGAATTTACTGTTACCCATTGTTCTCCAAATCACACAAGTACCTCTGGGTTCGTAAGGAGGGACAGACGGACAAGGCGTCGACTATATTATGCTCCCCCGAAATTTTTCGGGGAGCATAAAAAGTATTATTAACTTTAAAAGTTATTTTTGCTACTTGAGGTTGAAAAAAAAAATAAATGATTATCATAACAATTGTACATAATTAATGTTTAGTTGTGAAACACTTAAAGTACAGTATGAACTGGGTACGAATATCGCTGATGTGGTCATACTTGGTTTTTATTGTATATATCGCTTTAAGCTTGTTTTAGGCGAAGTCGTTCATCTGAAGGCGACTTCTTCGCCCAAGTCAACCCCTAGCTCAAGCCCTGATAAATGGCCATTTCTTTTTTTGTTTACCTTTAAATTTGCTGATTTATGAGGAAATTTTTAGTGGTATTTCGGGAATTTATAAGTCATAAATTGGGAAACTTGCTGTCTATTTTCTATTTGGAACAGTGCCTTTTTTTGGTTTCATATACATAAGGAAAAAAAAACGCTGCAAAAGTACAGTGGCACAAAGGTGACATTTTATGCATTTTTATCTATCTCGTGCACACAAGATAATATGTATCTTTTGGCCATGAGATAATTAAGTGGTGCGCTTGAAATACTATGTGGTGGCCATAAGTTATTAAGTTCTGGCCATGAGATACTCAAGTGGAGCACACAAGATATTATGTTGTGGCAATTTAAGTGGCGCCCACAAGATACTTTGTGGTGGCAAACAGAAAGATACCGTCCCAGCTTTGGCACATTAAAATATTTTGACTAATTCTAAAACATAATAAATACCAAATCTGTTAGGTTACAATTGAATAGAAAGTACATCACTCAGCATGTTTTAGAAAAGACAATACCGTCTAAAATTAACAATGAACTACTAAAAAACTGTAGACCTCTTCGATCAGTATTAAATTATTAATTCCTGTAATATGCGATATATTTTCTTGATTTCGACAGTTTTTGTTGTTTTTCTTTCTCCAGTTTTCATTGGCAAGAATATCTGCGTTATTATTTTTTTTTTTTTTTTTTGGGGGGGGGGGGCTGAAAAAGTTTAATAATTAAATCCCTACATATCTATTAAGTTATTAACAGATTTATTTAGTTGTGCAATAATTTTTGTGTCTGTCCAGTTCTTGGAAAATAATTTCAGAGAATTTGAGCGAAATCAATGTGAGTTACGGTAACGCAAACATAAAGAAATATGAAAGTAAATATTTACTGAATTGCTAAAATTTTTACCATCAATTATGACTGCAACAATCGCCTTTTTTCTGAAATAAAAACTGAAGTTTTGGTAATTTTGGAATTACCGCAACATTTACCGGTGTTGTATTATATTTTCACGCTGTACAAATCTATTTTCAAGCGTCTGCTGATCTGTACTGTATCCTCGGTTCTCAAACTAGAATTGTGTCCAGAAAAAAAACTTATAAGAAATTGCTATTAGAATCAGTAATAACTATGCCATTTTGCAGATAATGGTCATTGTCGATTTAACTATAAACTTCTGTCATAATGTCATATTTCAAAATTTGGCGCTGTAAAACTTAATACTTTACTCAGAGTCTGTAAACGCTCATTTAAATTTGAAGGAATAAAATTTTATAACAAGAATGGAAAAATATCAAGGAATAGGTAAATAGTGCTTTTGAATGGCTTTAAAGTAAAATTTTATTTTTCATTCATAAAGACATTCGTTGAAATAGATCATTGAAATTTCCAAGTGCTGCCCATTGTCCATGCAACTCACTGATACCATGTTACATTGTGTGACTGGATGTTGTGAATGCAGTTGGAGTCCATTTCTCTCCCATTTTGATCGTTCTGACATATAAGATCCTACTGACATACAAGCAAAATGAAGCATGTTATTTAACATTATTTGTAGCCTTTAAAATATCCTATAAATTTATGATATTATAATAATTTTATAGATGATGTTCCCCAGGCCATGAAAGTTGCAATAGCTATTGGAATTATTAAGAACAAGCCACCAGACATAAGTGGAAGAAGATATGCTGAAATTCTATGTGAGAAATTTAGAACAAGTCAGCTACACTGGAAAAAGCAATATGAAAGAGCTGGTACAGAAATACTTCACCTGAAACAGCAATTGATGATGACCACACAAATGCAACCATCTGCGGAAAGGGCTAATGAACAAAACAGTCAAATGTTAGATGGTAATTAAAATTTGTTGGTTGACCACTATTGGAAAAGTTTATAAGTCCTCTAAAAGCATAAATTCAGGAGAATGTAAATTTTTGCCCTCCTTCTGTTTGCCAAAGTTACAGTTGGTATGTTAATGGTAATAATCAAAATTCCTTTTAAAAGATTATGTGATAACTTGAATACTATTATAAGTTAGTCAAATAAACTAAGGTGTGCTTATGTTTTGTCTGCATATCATTAAATTGTTGTTGTTGTTGTTTTTTTTTTGTGAAAATTTGATTTCAGTCCTTTGCAATTATTGCCTAATTCTGAATAGCAATTTAGTAATGTGATGTGAATTTTGTCACAACAGCTTGCATTTGAATAAATAGTCTCAATGACTAAGGGATCATTATTTTGCTCTTGCTTTCATTTTAAAGATCCTGTATGATGTAATTCAGTATGTTACCACACTAAAGTGATATTTAATACATGTATATAATCAGGTACGTATATATACGTACCTGATTTGAGCATTATATTTATGATATAAAACCATAAAAAATTGTGTTACAGGATCTTTAAAGGAAAAGGCACAGAGAATTTTGCACAGGTATCTCTAAACCCTTTTACTGACCTTTTTGGACACTCATATATATTTGATTCAACTTTTTATTTCTGATTTACAGATTCTTTACCTTCTACCAGTCAGTCATTGTTTCCAACACCACCACTTTCAGGAAATGCTGAATTGCTACAGGGAACCAGTTCTGGAACACTTGCTGATGCTGAGTTCTCATTGGCTAAACACACTGAATTTTTGCACCATGTGATCAATATTCAGTCTGCTTCCAAAATTTTGGAGTCAGATAAATCTATGCAAAATGTAACTCAACAAAGTTTGAAACACAGTCTGGTTATACTGCAAACTCACATAGGAGACAGTAAAATATCATGGACTGTCCAAGAACAATGCGTCCAGACTGTTAATACTATTGTAGATAAGAAAAATATTTCAGAGACTGTTCTAAAAGAAGTGTGCAGTTTGTATTCCCATTTGATAGAGGAAATCATGTCATATGCAAATCAAGATTATAAGGTATGTATTCCCTATATCTATCCCGAACAAGATCAAAAGACCATTCATACACACACACTTGTTGACAAGAAAAACACCCATGCATGCTCATTTATGTTCACTCAAAATGAGTTGTTTTAATTTTGGTATTTTTGTGAAAATCACGATCGTTTTAGTTGAAAATTTAATGGTATTTAACCTGTTAATTTAAAAGAAGTGTTTTGATTTCTAGATTAAAAAGAAATACAATACAAAGAATGTTATTGTCTGTTCTTGAAACAACATTGTTTGAACAGTGTTTATGTGAAAAGTATTGGGAGTTCTGAAAAAGTTTATCATCTAAATTATTTTATTTTCAGGTGCAAAAGAGAAAGTGCGACTTGCTGTATACATTTAGTGACTGCAGAAAACTGATACCTAAGTTCCTCCAGCTTCTCTCTGGTGCTATCCTTAGCTACTCGAGCACTCTCCGAAAATGTGTGCAAGAAAAAGAATTTCCAGACAGCTCTAAGTTCTGTAGTAGTTATTACATTATAAAGGCAGCTGAAAAGTGTATATGCAAAAGTGAAAGACAATTGACAAGTGAGGACAAACTAGTGATTAGAACTAAACTGGAAAATAGTTTGCTACATATTACAGATCACTACCCATTATTTGCACATGCAATTTGGAGACTATGTTCTCTTTTGACTTGATGTATGTAGTCAAAAAAATTCTTCGTTTTTTAAAGGCATATTATTCCCCAGAAATGATTTTATTTTCATTACTCAAAAGTTTTTTTTGCTTTTGGTTTCCTGTTAATTTTTCTAATAAGTTACAAAGTGGCTAATTACTTGACCCATCTTTTGCTTCTGTTGATGTTTTTTCTAATAAGTTACTACAAAAAAAGCAACAAAAGCAAAAGATGGTTCAAGTAATAATAAGTTCAGTTATAATGATTTTGTATGGAAGTCAAAATATTACTTTGTTTACATTTCACTTCTTTCTTTTTTTTGACAAATAAATTTCACATTCAAGTAGTCTACTACCTTCAGCTGATATTTATTTATAATTCTATAAAACTTTTATTTACATATCATAATACTTTTCCCCCTTTCTATTTGAGTAAATATTTATTCATTTCTTACTAATAAGATTCCTTTTAATGAACTGTCACAGAGAAATGCCTGCAATTTTTGCTTGTCATATCTAAAAGTACTGTTTAAAGAATATTTATTTTATGTGAAAAATTGCTATAAACAGTGAAAAAATGAAGAATGAAATGAAAACATAGTACAAATTTTGTTATTGAAGTAAACTGCATGATTTCTTTCAAGTGACTTTTTTTTGTAAAACTGTCATATACTTAAGTTGATAATCTATAATGAAGTGTAAAGTTTTCTTAGATTTAGTCAACATCTGTAATCTTTTGGGGGTTTATTTTTCTATACATATACATGTCCAGTTTTCTGAACATTTTAAACAGATAACATTGACTACAGATGAATAGGCATTCCATTTTTGGAACATACACTTCATTGTGTTGAACACTGTCAGTACATGGAAGTTAACTGGAGTATATTAAATAGAAATTCATTACATCCAAAATAAATTTGTTGCAAACTCACTGGTGGTGGAAGATCCAAGCAGGTATATTTACTAATGACCTTGCTGTACATAATTGATAATCTTAAAGATGAAGTTTTCAATCATAGTTTTTGAATAAACAGTAAAACCCGTCCTGTTGAATGGCAAGTCAACAGTAAAATTTCTTTGCTTTTTTGATCAACAATTTAATGAATAAAGGGTTACCCTTGGGTCAGCTTAACAATTTTGGTTTAGATGTATGCAACTTCATTTCATATTAACAACTAAAGGTATTGACTTGAAACATTGTTTTGTCCTCAGCATCAAAATTGTAGGTCAATGCTCAAGGATAAACACTTTCCTAACTAGCAGACGACAGGCTATTCTTATCAGTCATTTTTTCTAGTCAAGATAACCGGTTGCGTATCTCACTGTATAAATCGTATGTAAAATGCTCTGACATATGGTAGGTTTAAGAGTTAATTTAAATACTTTGGTGTCAAAGATGTGTTGAAGTATATACTGAGACAAAGCTAAGATCCAAAGCTTTCCATTGATGTAATTATGCCCCCATTTTGAAAAAAAGGGGGTATATTGCTTTGCACTTGTCGGTCCGTCGGTCCGTAGACCAAATGGTTTCCGAGTGATAACTAAAGAACCCTTAGGCCTAGGAACTTCAAACTTGGTATGGTGATTGGTCATGACCAGTAGATGACCCCTATTGATTTTGGGGTCAAGGGGTCAAAGGTCAAGGTCACATTGACCTTGAAAGCAAAAACGGTTTCCGATCAATAACTAAAGAACCTTAAGGCCTAGGAACTTCAAACTTGGTATGGTGATTGGTCATGACCAGTAGATGACCCCTATTGATTTTGGGGTCAAGGGGTCAAAGGTCAAGGTCACATTGACCTTGAAAGCAAAAACGGTTTCCGATCAATAACTAAAGAACCTTAAGGCCTAGGAACTTCAAACTTGGTATGGTGATTGGTCATGACCAGTAGATGACCCCTATTGATTTTGGAGTCAAGGGGTCAAAGGTCAAGGTCACATTGACCTTGTAAGCAAAAATGGTTTCTGATCAATAACTAAAGAACCTTAAGGCCTAGGAACTTTAAACTTGGTATGGTAATTAGTCATGATCAGTAGATGACCCCTATTGATTTTGGGGTCAAGGGGTCAAAGGTCAAGGTCACATTGACCTTGTAGGTAAAAACGGTTTCCGATCAATACCTAAAGAACCTTAAGGCTTAGGAACATCAAACTTGGTATGGTGATTGGTCATGATCAGTAGATGACCCCTATTGATTTTGGGGTCAAGGGGTCAAAGGTCAAGGTCACATTGACCTTGTAGGTAAAAACGGTTTCCGATCAATAACTAAAGAACCTTAAGGCCTAGGAACTTCAAACTTGGTATGGTGATTGGTCATGATCAGAAGATGACCCGTATAGATTTTGGGGTCAAGGGGTCAAAGGTCAAGGTCACATTGACCTTTTAATTAAAAACGGTTTCTGATCAATAACAAAAAAACCCTTAGGCCTAGGAACTTCAAACTTGGTATGGTGATTGGCTATTACCAATCAGATGACCCCTATTGATTTTGGCGTTAAGGGGTCAAAGGTCAAGGTCACATTGACCTTGTAGGTAAAGCGGTTTCCGATCAATAATGAAAGAACCCTTAGACCTAGGGACTTCAAACTTGAGATGTTGATTGGTCATGATCAGTAGATGACCCCTATTGATTTTGGGGTCTAGGGGTCAAAGGTCAAGGTCACATTGACCTCTTAGGTAAAAACAGTTTCCGATCAATAACTTAACAACCCTTAGGCCTAGGAACTTCAAACTTGGTATGGTGATTGGTCATGACCAGCAGATGACCCCTATTGATTTTGGGGTTAAGGGGTTAAAGGGCAAGGTCACATTGACCTTGTAGGTAAAAATGCTTTCCGATCAATAACTTAAGAACCCTTATGCCTAGGAACTTCAAACTTGGTATGGTGATTGGTCATGACCAGCAGATGACCTATTGATTTTGGGGTCAAGGGGTCAAAGGTCAAGGTCACATTGACCTTGTAGGTAAAAACAGTTTCCGATCAATTAACTAAAAACGCTTAGGCCTAGGAACTTCAAACTTGGTGTGATGATTGGTCATGACCAGCAGATGACCCCTATTGAGTTTTAGATGAAGGGGTCAAAGGTCAAGGTCACATTGACCTTTTAAGTAAAAACGGTTTCTGATCAATAACTCAAGAACGCTTAGGCCTAGGAACTTCAAACTTGGTATGGTGATTTGTCATGACCAGCAGATTACTCCTATTGATTTTGGGATCAAGGGGTCAAAGGTCAAGGTCACAATGACCTTGTAAGTAAAAACGGTTTCTGATCAATAACTAAAGAACGCTTCAGCCTAGAAACTTCAAACTTGGCATGGTGATTGGTCATGACCAGCAGATGACTCCTATTGATTTTGGGGTCAAAGGTCAAGGTCACATTGACCTTGTATGTTAAAACGGTTTCCGATCAATAATAAGAGAACCCTTAGGCCTAAGAACTTCAAACTTGGCATGGTGATTGGTCATGAACAGCAGATGACCCCTATTGATTTTGGGGTCAAGGGGTCAAAGGTCAAGGTCACATTGACCTTGTAGGTAAAAACGGTTTCTGATCAATTTACTAAAAACGCCTAGGCCTAGGAACTTCAAACTTTGTATGATGATTGGTCGTGACCAGCAGATGACCCCTATTGAGTTTTGGGTCAAGGGGTCAAAGGTCAAGGTCATGACCAGTAGATACTTTATAACCCTTAATTGTTTGATCACTGGGTCAGAAGTCATGCATAATAACCTTATCACATGACTAATTGGCTGCTGATAGGGGGCATACATGTTTTACAAACATATCTTGTTATTTTTTAAATTGGACGTTTAATCACAACAAACTAGCAACCGCTAAAAACAGCTTTATTTGTAATGTTTTAGTGTAAGCTTTATTGATTTTACTCAAAGGTAAGGGAAACAACTCATATTTTTTCACTCAGTATACCTGGGTTATTTACCTAGTTCATATCTAAAGTGTTTATGGGTATATTCTAGCATGTACTGTTGGTGAGTTATTCCCCTTTTTAAACTAAAAAATTATTCCATGGTCCATGTTTAACTGTCAAGCACTGAGAAAAGTCAAATGCGCTGTTGTCTCTGAATTTATTAATTTTTCAGTTGTAAAGAGAAAATAAGTTAAACTGAATATGGTAAATATGTGTAAGAGATGGGGGTTATTTTCATATCAATATTTCTTGTGGAAACAAGAGCCGGTTGAACCGGGTGATGCTCCCCGAATAGGTTTTGGACACAGGAAGGTATACCTCTTGTAGTGTCAGAGTTATGTCACAGGCAAAGTTCAAAGTGTAAAAACAACCCAAATGTTGTGCACGACACATTGTCTCAATATGGTGATCATTTCTGTGAAATAGTTGTAAAATCAGACTTCAAATAAGGAAGTTATGGGCTAGACATGATTTTGCTGCAAGGTCATGCTGTGACCTTGACCTTCAAGGTAGCGACCCAAATGTTGCATGTGACACGTCGATTCAATATGGTGATCATCCCTGTGAAATAGTTGTTAAATCCGACTTCAAGGAACGAAGTTACTGGCCGAACGCGATTTTGCTGCAAGGTCATGTGACCTTGACCTTCAAGATAGCGACCCAAATGTTGCGCGCGACACGTCATCTCAATATTGTGATCATTTCTGTAAAATATTTTTAAAATCTAAATTCAAATAACGAAGTTATGGGCCGGACAAGATTTTGCTGCAAGGTCATGCTGTGACCTTGACCTTCAAAGTAGCGACCCAAATGTTGGGCGCGACACGTTGTCTTAATATGGTGATCATTTCTGTGAAATAGTTTTAAAATCTGACTTCAAATAACGAAGTTATGGGCTGGACAGGATTTTGCTGCAAGGTCATGCTGTGACCTTGACCTTCAAAGTAGCGACCCAAATGTTGGGCGCGACACGAAGTCTTAATATGGTGATCATTTCTGTGAAATAGTTTTAAAATCCGACTTCAAATAAAGAAGTTATGGACCGGACACGATTTTGATGCAAGGTCATGCTGTGACCTTGACCTTCAAGGTAGTGACCCAAATGTTGCGCGCGACACGTCGTCTCAATATGGTGATCATTTCTGTGAAATAGTTTTAAAATCCGACTTCAAATAAAGAAGTTATGGACCGGACACGATTTTGATGCAAGGTCATGCTGTGACCTTGACCTTCAAGGTAGCGACCCAAATGTTGCGCGCGACACGTCGTCTCAATATGGTGATCATTTCTGTGAAATAGTTTTAAAATCCGACTTCAAATAAAGAAGTTATGGACCGGACACGATTTTGATGCAAGGTCATGCTGTGACCTTGACCTTCAAGGTAGCGACCCAAATGTTGCGCGCGACACGTCGTCTCAAAATGGTGATCATTACTGTGAAATAGTTTTAAAATCCGACTTCAAATAACTAAGTTATGGGCCAGACACGAGTTGGGACGTACGGACAGACGGACGGACTGACGGACGGACAACCCGACGACTATATGCTCCCCCGAAATTTTTCGGGGAGCATAAAAATCACATATTGCCAACTAATTTGCTTTCTGGTATTTTTTTTATTTCAAAATTCAAATGTATAAAATCTACAAATACTATGTAAGAAGATTGGAGTCCCATAACATGTATAAATCATAAAATGTACAATAAAATAATAAACAATAAACACCATGATTATCTCTCATTACAAATAATTCAGGTGAAGCGGGGGAGACAGGGGTGTTTGTTACAATATATGAGCCGCGCCATGACAAAATCAACATAGTGCGTTTGCGACCAGCATGGATCCAGACCAGCCTGCGCATCCGCGCAGTCTGATCAGGATCCATGCTGTTCGCTATCAGTTTCTCTACTTGTAATAGAGTTGGTAAGCGAACAGCATGGATCCTGATCAGACTGCGCGGATGCCAGGCTGGTCTAGATCCATGCTGGTCGCAAACTCACTATGTTGGTTTTGTTGTGACGTGGCTCAATTATGTCCAGTATGATAATCACCCTGTCAATAAAATAATCTAAACATTTCCATGTGGAATTCATATACCGGACTATGTCCTTTTTTGATTTTTTAAAACTGCATTGTTCAAAATCATTCTTTTTTTTCAAAATAGGAAATAATTTTTGCAAATAATTTACAATTTGCTGCCTTTCCTTTTGCTTGCTGTGTGTAGCCCTTGGGGAGTTTGGAAATGAAATAAATTTTATGCATTATTGCTATTTATTACATGCTTTTCGGTGGTTTATAAAAATACATCAGTGAAATAAAACTGATAATTTCACTGTTTTAAATTATCAATTTGATAAATTCACTGTTTTGAATATTTGAGCCCGTTACGTTGTTTTAGTGAAATACAAGCGTGCACAGTACTGGAAACCAACTTAATGATGTGACGTCGTAAATGACATCACATTGTATTATTATTTTGCGCCCTTTTCATTTAGTACTGGTTTAAAATGTCTTTTTAAACGTTTCTTTGCATATAATAAAAAGAAAATTTGTTTAGTTTAATGTAAGATCTAAATAGATTTCCCCTCGTGAACATCAAAAGTTCATATTTCACTCGTGGCTGCGCCACTCGTGAAATATACCTTTTGGTGCTCACTCGGTGAAATATATTCCGATCTTACACTGAAGTAAACAAATATCCTCTATATCATATGAAATTGGTTAAGTCATCAGTTGTATAATCTTTTTAAATTCTATCTATCATAAATTTCTGACCATTAGGCATTCACAAAATAAACTTTGACTAAACACTGCCATTTTAAACCTTAAGATTACTGTCAATTTTCATAAAATGCACATCTATTACAAAAATTAAAACTTCAGTAAAATGTGGTATATCAGTGACCCACATTTACAATACTGATCAGTATTCTACATATTCTATATTTAAGTTACATTTAATAAAAACAACAAATTCAATCAATTAAAACCAATCACACTCATCCAACTTCTTGCAAAATAAAAAGCTAAGCATCCCCAAAAAAAATATCGGATAAAAAACTTCAATAAACAATAAAACATTCATTTCAGGCTTTCTGAAAGATATACTATGCTCATCTTTGAGTAAAATATTTTTATCGCTGAAATTTATTGAAATCTATGAAATTCTTACTGAATATGTCTGATTTCAATAAAATATGTACAAACTATATATGGGAAGCTGCATTCTTTAATACGGGTCAAGTAATGAAGGTCCTTTCTTTTTAACTTCCAGTTTTTTTTTAAATTACCGTTACACTATATATTCATATTGCGTCCACCTACAGTGTGTAGAGTTTAAAACATACCTACTTAGTGTAAAATCAAACATTACTAAGAGCCTGTGTAGCAATTATAAATATTTTATTTTAAAATATCAAATTTGAGCATAGTATATCTTTAAACAACATTCATTTGTTTCTAAGGAATGTCTGAACACAAATATTTGTTGGGTTTTTTTTTTCTTGTGTGTTATTTCCTCTCTCCATTCAGGGGCAGTTACTTTTGAAATACAAAGGAGATTCGTAAAATTTTAAAACCCACATTTCCATGTGGTGGTAATCATGCATAAAAATAATTGTATAAAAATTCTAAACTATTCCATATTCCTGCTCAAGATGAATGATTAAAGTACTATCTGTTAGTTCAAAGGCAATAACTCCTTGAATACTAAGTTGATTTGAAAGGAAAATGTGAAAGCTAAATTGCCTATGGTGATAAAACTGAAAAACAACAAAATTTCTTGTAATGAAAATATAATCAAAAAAGTTTAAAGTTGTCATTCCAGAAGGTAAAGTTAACAGTGCTAAATCTGTATCCCTCAGCCTTTACAGCAGAATAAAAAAAAAAAAAAAAACAGGTGATTTAAAGCATTGTCGATCATTTTTTCTTAAAGCAGCATTCCTCCAGATTCATGTTAATTTTCATGAAAGTTTTGGAAATGTATTTAAAAGTAAAATATTTGTGAGGTGAATAAATTAAGTAATTTACATATTGCAATCGACACTTACAATCCACGAAAGCTAGGAAAAAGTGGTCAAGATATGCAAAAATAGCCCTTACTGCGTTGCTAACGCAGTAGAAATATGGTGATAAAATACTGCAAAATCAAGCTTGATTTTCTTGAAATTTTTTTGGCTCATCTGGAGGCATGCAGCTTTAAGAAATAAAAATCTTTGTTACATCAAACAGTATAAAAGAATCACAAACATTCTACATTCAATTAAATGAACACTACTGTGGACTCCGGATATGACACATGTTATATTTTTGATATGACACACTTACATAGCACATCAGATTCTGTCAAAATTACAATTTTTTGTAAACATTGACACATCAATAAACAGCTTTATCAATTTATCTATTCTATCATGTTTAACACTACAGTTTTCCTTACTTTCGCGTTATTTTATTACTGAGTAGCTCTTGAAAACAATAAATAAACATAACTACATGTATATGACATAATTATGCATATGTTATAAAACGAAAGTCAATAAATCAAATAACTTGCTTCTCTTCAAAAAGTAGTTTTAGTATTACAATGAGTACTCTTTCTACAGTTTTATTGGAACAGAAATACACTAAATTTTCTTGCATTATCTCAGAATAAAGAATGTTTTTTATTTCGATGCTTTGAACTTGTTCACTCGGGTCTGCATGTTTACTGCACATCTTAACTCAAAATATGTAACATAATATGATAACTATTTGCCTACAAAGTCTGCCTTTGGTAGATTGATATTTTTCTTAATGAAATTGTAACATAATTTGAGCCGTGTCACAACAAAACCAACATAATGGGTTTGCGACCAGCATGGATCCAGACCAGCCTACGCATCTGCGCAGTCTGATCAGGATCCATGCTGTTCGCTATCAGTTTCTCTACTTGTTATAGAGTTTGTAAGCGAACAGCATGGATCCTGATCAGACTGCGCGGATGCGCAGGCTGGTCTGGATCCATGCTGGTCGCAAACCCACTATGTTGGTTTTGTCGTGACACGGCTCATTTTGATTTGTTTTAGATGAAAAAAAAAATTTGTATGAATTTTATTCATTTTCTTCCATAAGAATGTTGGTTTTCAATAAGCTTCCAATTTTTTCAAGCCATCATGTCCGGGATTGTCACGGAAATCAGACGACTGTCATTGCAGCGTCCTGGAGATGATATATGTCCCGATAATTAATAGAAACCAAGCAAGATTTATGGATACTGCAACTTAAAGCAATCTCCACTTGTTCTTTAACAAAATAGCTACCAAAAGTTGAATATTATTTAAACTTGAGCTGTAAAAATAAATGAATTGTTGCGAAATATAAAATGTTTGGACTTAAATGATTTGGAAGATAAGGTTAATGTACCCGTTAAAACAACTTTCTTTATCAGAAGTAAAACTAGTAAGACAGAATAAAGTAATCATTCCTTAGACGTTTTCAACAACAAAATCCAAAGAAAACAACAAACACTAGACAACAAAGTTGAAAATCTATTAAATAAATATAAAAGTAAAAAATAATTGTTGATTAACTTCTATAAAATATGTCTATGAATGAAATTCAAATTAATGACCATCAAATACAGCCACTAAAAATATTAAAACAGTGAATGAAGCTTAAATTAAATTTAAAATGAAGTTTAAATTGCCTCTTACCACATTTACTATTAATTCTTCCCTTTAAAGCAGGTAAAATGACCTTGTTGGATTAGTCCACTTTTTATGGTGTCATTGGCAAGTCATTATTGCGACAAGCTTTAACCCCTTATCAAGCTAAATATCTTAAATGAACTTGTCCTGCTTTGTTTTGTCCAGATTGAAGGGATATTTAAACGTGAAAACTGACTGATTAGTAAAGAGTGCCGACCATGACCAAACAGCATGGATGCACCAGCTGGTCTTGTTCTGCACTGGTCGCACGGGTAGATTCAGTCCCTGCCAGCAGGCTAAATGTTATAGGGTTAACACTGTCCAACACTATCAGTGCAATATGAGAAGTTATACAACTTTAAAAATACTTGTTTTACATATAAAACCCTTAACCAGCTGAATAAGGGAAAAATTTTTTGGAAAATTGGAAACTAATTTCAAATTTTTCAAAATTTTTTCCATTTTTAATGTTATAATTTTAAATATTTTTAAAACAACCCCAAGCTTTGATATAAAAATTTGATTTTTTAAAAATTTAAAATTTTCCAGTTTGACGTTAATGATTGACAACCCAAATTCTTTGTTATATAATTAAGGGCCTGTTCATTTGAAAAAACGTATGACTTTTCTACAAACCTTTAAAGGAAGACACAGGCAAAATATTCATTTTTTCATTCATTATTCTGTAAATGCCCTCAAATGAAATATATAAGACAGTCAAAGGAACAAAACTTTTCTCCATATAAAGAATAAAATGGTGGTTTTCCTAAACTTGACCCACATGGGTCAGGTTTAGAATGCTAACATTTCACAATAGTTGTCAAAGTGAACTCTGGAAACGTTAAAGAACATGTCAAATGAAATGACTTAGGCTTGTTTCAATCGTACAATATCAAAAATATCTGTTATTGTAACTTCGAGGGTTTGTTAAAGTCACTTGACTTGTTTTTAAAACTATTTTGTGATTCTATTGGGCGTCTAAATTTTGTTCAACATATATAGATATATTAACGCCTTCAAACCCAAAATATATAGAATTTAAACAGAAATTCATGCTGAAACTTCAAGAAAAGTCATTTTAGCGTGATTTGAGTACATAAGATCATTTTAATATTTTTGTCATTATTTTGCCTGAATATCCCTTTAAAGTCATTGCTTAAGTCATAGGTCCATGATACTATACTTAGAGAGATGAAAATCTCACATAAAATCAAGTCATAAAAAATTAAAACATACAATGAATTTTCCCACAAGAAAAAACAAATCTCCATGGAATAAACACACATTTAATGGAATCTGTATTTTCTTGCTGGTTTGAGGTTGATAAACGTTTTTTTCATCTCTTCACCGTCATCTTTCTTTATCTCTGTAAATTTTTGTCCTTTAGTGTTCACAACCTGGTTGTCAAGGTAACGGATCATCTTTTTGGGTTCCTTAAATAATATTCGAAGATCATTAATTTTATCATGTCTAAATTCATGTAAATATATATATTCATTACAAAAAAAAACCTATCTAAAATAGCCGGACATATGTAGATTTATTATAACAGAGGGTTGTTTTTTTAATTTCAGACAAATTTGTAAATTGAAAAAAAAACAGATATGGACAATGAAATAACTTCAATACTATTCAGCAATGAACTTTAAGCCATATGTATTAAAAACTAAAACTGTTAAATTAATGTCCTATAGAATCAAAACGATATAACACAAGAGATGAAGGAAAGGCAACTACTTCACAATTCCCATGCATTCCAGATATAAGGTGGACCTTACATAAGAATTTATACATTTAGCCCAATTAATTTTGTACAATACTTCATATTTTTTTCACATAATGCTCAATTTATTTCACTATCTTGTAATTTTGGACATAAACCTCTTCTTTGTTTGACTGACCAATGAAAATCCTGAGATCTGAGACAGATTAAACCAGGAAAAAAGTTTTATAACCTTGTAGCCAGTATTTGACTAGTTATTCAACAGATAAAATCGACAATATTTACAGATTTTGGTGCTGCTGGTTTGTACTGTTTTTTATCCTCGTTAACATCAATGAAGGCATATCTCTCCATCATTTGATCCTTCATTTTCTTGTCATCTAATATACTGTGTCCTCGTATCTTCCTTTCCTTAGGCTGTAAAATTAACAAGAGCCATGTCAACATGGCCATCCCCCGCCGAATGTGTTTGCTCATTGGAAGAATGTATATGTAGTAGAGCAGAATAACTCCATTTTAAGGTCTTTTGGTAATGAAAACTGATGGCTATAGAGATTACAGATTTGAAACCTATGTGAATACTGATGGCTGAAAATAACAAAGGGCAATTACTGAAAAATAATTGCAGGGTAGGTTATCATTCTTGTGTGCTGCATCCTCTCCTCAGTAAAATCTATCCACCTATGAAGTTTCAAGTTGTACCTCAAATACTTTTAAGAAAAAAATTGAATTTGAAAAATTAAGTATGAAAAAAATAATAACAAAGGGCAATAACTCAAAAATTATAAAAGGTAGAGTTATCATTCTTGTGCACTTGCAAACCTCCTGAGTTAGATCTATGCACCTATGAAGTTTCATAATGATATCTAAAAAAAAGGCCTTTTGAGTTATGCTCTGGACAAAAATTAATTTTGAAAAATAACAAAGGGCAATAACTAAAAAATTATGCAGGGTAGAGTTATCGTTCTTGTGCACTGCACTCCTCCTCAATGAGATCCATCCAGCTATGAAGTTTCAAGTTGATACCTCAAATACTTTTTGAGATAAGCTCCGGACAAAATATTATGAAAAAGAACAAAGAGGAATAACTCAAAAAATTGTATATAGGGAAGAGTTTATCATTCTTGTGCACAGCATTCCTCCTCAATAAATCTATCCACCTATGACATTTCATGTTGACATCTCAAACACTTTTGAGTTATTGCTCCAACTCGGAGTGAAAAAATTAGGTATGAAAAATAACAAAGGGCAATAACTCAAAAATTTATGAAAGGTAGAGTTATCATTCTTGTGCACTGCACACCTTTCCTGAGTGAGATCTATGCACCTATGAAGTTTCATGTTGATATCTCAAAGGCTTTTTGAGTTATGCTGTCTGGACAAAAATTAATTTAGAAAAATTAACAAAGGGCAATAACTAAAAAAATTATGGCAGGGTAGAGTTATCATTCTTGTGCACTGCACTCCTCTCCAGCTATGAAGTTTCAAGTTGGATACCTCAAATACTTTTTTGAGATAAAGCTCAGGACAAAATAGCATGAAAAAGAACAAAGGGCAATAACTCAAAAATTGTATAGGGAAGAGTTATCATTCTTGCGCACAGCATTCCTCCTCAATAAGATCAATCCAACACATGACATTTCATGTTGATATCTCAAAACACTTTTTGAGTTTATGCTCCACTCAGTTGAAAAATTAAGTATGAAAAATAACAAAGGGCAATAACTCAAAAAAATTATGAAAGGTATAGTTATCATTCTTGTGCACTGCACACCTCCTGAGTGAGATCTATGCACCTATGAAGTTTCATTATGTTGATATCTCATAGGCTTTTTGAGTTATTGCTCTGGACAAAATCAATTTTGAAAAAATAACAAAGGGCAATAACTCAAAAATTATGCAGGTAGAGTTATCATTCTTGTGCACTGCACTCCTCCTCAATTAGGTCTATCCACCTATGAAGTTTCAAGTTGATAACTCAAATACATTTAGAGATATGCTCCGGACAAAAATGTCGGACGGAAGGAAGGACGGAGACTATTACTATATCCCCCGCCGCCTTTTCGGCGGGGGATAATAATCAGTGTAAAGTCATTTACTTTTATATCTCCCGTGTGCTTCCAGTAAGTCAACATCACTAATTCCCCATCATCATTAATAATACCACCTTAATGGCATATATCCATGTGGCTTCATCTTACATTGGTCATAATTAGTCTATTTTAGTGTTATTCCTATAGGACTCGAGGTTTGCAAGCAAAATATTTAAATTTTAAGTGCTTTAGTGAAAAAGACCCACATTTCACTTGTTTCTACAAAAATGTTATTGGTATATGAATGAAACAATGTTAAAGTGGCGCTAGACATAGCAAATCAATCGCCTACCCGGTAATTCTCTATTTTGTCATAAAAATTCATACTGTGATACCTTTTTATCCTCTGTGATAGCTGAACCAGTGTCTTGTCTATGCAACACAATCTGTACAGCTGTCTCTATATCTCCCTCGGCACTGTGTAAACAGTGTTCTAATTCCAGTCGTACAGTACTGGGAAACATTTCGATCAACTGTTGTAACTGTTCGTCAACATCATCACCCGAGGACTCAGAACTAGTCTGTGAAAAGCAAAATATATCAACCCTTAACCTGCTGAATTTCTTAAATGAACTTGCCCAGCTTTCATAAGTGGCATGGTCCACTATCAATTTTGGGAATGTAAAGATGAAATTTTAAAAAGATATTTAGCCTACAATATAGAGCCTTGTCAGAATGGATGGATGGCAAATGTTAATTACTTTTGATTCAAGCAGGGTTTGGGTTATTATACAGAAGAGAAATACTGAACATGTAATTGTTCTATTAAATATTGAATTTATTGTCGTACTATTGCATAAAAGCCTCTGTGACTTAGCATGCTGCTGTGAGCTTGAAACCAGCCAGGAAAGTTAAGTATTTCATTTAAGGGAAGACATTCCTGTGACAATACAAAATTTTCAGCTGCAAAACTGAAAGCTTGAGGCCAACTAACAAAGTTACAACAATCTAACTGTTACAGTGTGTGTATGACTTAATCAAACATGATAAGGTTGATAAGGTTTCTATTGTCCACTATTGAGTATAACTATATTATAATATTTACCAAAAATATCTTTTTAAATGCACATTTATTAATATGTTAATAAACCTAAATTTAATATACTTCATGCTATTGAATATATTGTTCCATTACTCCGCTGAAAAATTATTTGATTAAAATTTAAATGAACCTATAAATTTTGATGAAAATATTCCTTAAGTGTTACAGTAAACTATAATAAATACATTGTGTATAACTATAATCTAGCTATAATGCTTACTCTTTCATTTTCTCCCACTGAATCTAGCCTTGTTTTGGAACTGACATTGTGAGGGAGTTTACAAGCCTCTGCCACTAATTCTGTGTTCAATGTTGGAGTGGTCGGCTCTTTTGATTTACTATCTATAAAAGCAACAAAGAAATAACAAAAACAAATGTGGTAATACAGTAATACTTAACTACATGGAAACAAATGCAATTTACATTTATATAACCAGTTACTAACTCATACCATTTTAACATAGGTCTCTCACAGAATCTGTCAAAAAATTCTTACACACCTTAGTACAAGTATATGATAATAACAATGTAATAAGAGGACACAAATTCAACGGAGGATTATGAATTTTGGCACCGGTCCGCAAACACATAATCATTAACATTACACTCATTATCAATTAAAATCATAGGCAATTTTGTTACTATATATAGTAAAGTTAATAACTTGTATCCCATGACTGCGAGAAAAAATCTTGTCTGTTGAATGCTACAAGGGTACTATCCAGATATTCCAGTGGTGATTTTCTTCATACACATACCTTTACATGCTATAAACAATGCCTTAACTCTTTATCATCTTTTATATCTTATATGGACTTGTCCATCTTTCAATCTGGACAAAACCATTTATCATTTTTAAGGAAAACTTCAAAATAAGTACTGACTAGCAAACAGTGCAGACTATGATCAGACAGCATGCATGACTGATGAGTAGATTAAGTTCCTGCCAGTAAGTTAAGGGTTAATGCATTCTTATGTTAATTTATTTATTCTTATACTTGTATATTTAAGGCTTCCATTTATATGCATAGAAATGTCCATTATAAATTTTGTGTATATTAAGATGAAAATTTGAACATAGAAAACATGATAGTCCATAGAGCATGGTCATACTGTGCAGATGTTCAGACTGGTCTGGCTATACTGGTGGTAAAGGTTGTTAAGTTATAATACATGTAGGTAGAGGAATCACTGACTCAGAATCTTTAATGCAGTCTAATTTTATACTTGTAGGCGATTGGTGGCAGGGCCCATGTAGA